TGTTTAACTTTGTATGAATGTTTTATTCTTACAAGATTAGCAAAGGTTTCATCTGCACAATGGTTCCACATTCAGCTGAACGTTTCTCTCAGCTTTATTTGAGCCTCGTATCCACGAGTTTTGGCTCTTAAACCCTTCACACCTGTAGATCATTCAGTCAGTCTTTACATTTAAACGTTATTTAAACTTCATTTCTGCTCACTGGATTTTAAACCTGTGTTTGAAAAGCCGGTGATGCACTGAGAGCTTTACCTCAGAGTCAGAGTGTAATCTCCGTGCATCTTGGTGGAGGCGTCTCGGACCAGAAACGTACCGTCGGCCGTGAAGACTTCACAGGTTTAGGAGGTAAAGCTAAAACAGAGAGCGAGGAAGAGGAGTCACACCCCGAGATGGAGTAGTTACGTCTCTTTGATGGATGAATAGGGCTTTGGAGCGTGATGTCACTAGAGGGAGCGTGGCCAGATTTTTGGTTGAGGCGCCATGATTCTGGGCCAAACAAAGTGCTAGCGAAAGAGGAGCGGAAGTACACGGATAACACCAGCTATGGTTCGTACTTTCTGTGCGGTCGGTTGTAAGGTTAGATTGCACGACTGGTAAGAGAATAATGTTGAAAATGGTTTATCTTTTCATTCTTTCTCACCTGGAAGCAACATGAGGCAGCTCGTGTATCGATGTTACCAAAAGAAGGCGTCTAGTCTGGATAGCAGCTGTGAGATGAGCTGATATTCAGTTCTCTACCATCCACAGATATCTGTTGGTGTGCTCCAGTATTTTTATTCCGGTAAGTTCTAAATATGTTCATATCACTCTTTATAGCCTGTTAGTTTTATTTGCGATGCGCTCTGAGCTCATAGCAAATTAGAACAAACATCCTAATGAGGGATTTTGCAGAACCACCTTCTATTTATAGAGTTGCTAATTGTTTTTCATTATTGCAGACAAACCAGCCAATGAAATGGATGAAACTTCATGACTTGGTTCCAACTCACACATGGGGCTTTACGAAATCCCTGCTTCAAACCACATTGCTACATACTACCATGCCAATCAGATTACTTCTTCCATGTGAGGGTGAAGAGGTGACCCTTGTGGATAAGATGGTGAAGGTTTGCTGCGTTTTGGTGAACATGTGCCCCAGTGTGTTAGTAAAACCAGGGCAAAATGCTCTTGTTAAATACTCTTAAAAGTCTTGTGCTGTATATGTAGTGATACATTTTCAAAAGAGACAGTAAATTACAGAATGCTAGTAGTGGGTGATATTATATAAATGCTGTCATGATTTTATGTAAACATTTTGTCATTTGTAAACTATACATGACATTGGTAAATGGCCTGGCCTGTATTTGTTGATTCTACATTGTAACTGATGTGATGTTCTACAAAGTGGTTTTAATTTTTAAAAAAAGACAAACATTTGTTTGTTTCTTTATTCAACTTTTGAACAGTGTTACTTAGTAAGTACATATTCAGTAAATGCAAATTATTTACATGGCCCCCTAAATTAAAACATTATGGGTTATTCAGAACAGAACTATGCTTGGAGAAATATTTTCCCGTCAGTTGATCCAACTCCTCCACAGTAGCAGGTGGGATTTTTCTTTTTTGAGGACGGCTCCTTTTACCTTAAGTACAGATGGTCTGTTTATGTTTTGATCAAGAGCCTTTTTTTGGGCAGCTGAAGAGGAGAAGTCTATCTTATGGCCAACCACTGACTGTATCTTGGTCACATTACCCAGCAAAACCCAGCATGCAGGTTCATCTGTAACAGTCCTTGTGCCACAGATCAACACTGTTGCTTCTACATTAAACAGAAGAGCAGCGACATGGCTGCAGGTCTCCACGACTCCGGCCTTACAGGTGCAGTGGGCGGCTTCAACCTTCCCTGTGATGCTCACAATGACCCATGGCTGCAATGCTGGTTCATTCAGTCTTTGAGAGTGCAGTACCTGAAACACACACAGACAAAGTTCAAGACACGAACTTTAATAAGCCAAGGCCTTTCAAATCCATTTATCATAAATGTAACAAAGTGTTTTTATGTATCCATCTATAGAACGCTGCATGTTATATTCTAAATCTGAATGGTTTTTTTTCCATTTTTCCTTAAGTATGTAATGCAAGGATGTCATCACTTTCAAGAGGGAGAACGCATAAAGTTTGACTTTAAGTGACAATTATGGACACGTAATATGATAAGGAGATTCTACAGGTCATTAATCAATGTATTAAACCAAAATAGAATATATTTTTAGTTACAAAGGACATAAACACGGAAGCAAGATGTGTAATTAGGATTATTTATAATAAATACGAATTAATTAGTGCAATTTCTTTAACCATAGAGAATGAATAAAAAATTCAGGACAATGTCACATCAGTGCACTGAACTCACTATGTTTTCCCTCTAACAGCCTCCACATGTTCTCACTGTAATTTCCCCTCATGAATGAATTTATGCTGCACTAACTTGAATGTTCGGGGGGAAATCAAACGCATTTTACTTGCAGTACTCGAGCTGACTTATCTTTGTTTGAATGAAGGCGTACTCACGAGGTGGAGGCTTAAAAATAATCAAATCTTGTACCCAGTCCTTGGTGAATTGGATGTGCGCCTCCACAGACTTATAGTGGCGAAATTGGTGCACCGTGTATGCGCTGACTCCACAGACAAGGTACAAGAATATATCAGCCTAAGTTAAAAGTGGTTGGTCTTCAGGGTTTCTACTCCACTGCTGTTATTTCATACGGGTCCACATTTCCAATGCATGCTATTTTTTACAAGTACTGTCTCTTTGCATCCAGACGCAATCTGTCTCTGTACCGTCCTTTTAATGCGGCATGATGTCAACTCTGCATTGAATCACACTTGTTATTAACCTCTGTCTCTCTTCCACAGCATGTCTTTATCCTGTCTTCCTTCTCTCACCCCAACCAGTGGCAGCAGATGGCCCCGCCCCTCCCTGAGCCTGGTTCTGCTGGTGACCCGGCATTGGCATAAATAAAAGTGATTTGAATTGAATTGAATTGAATTCAAACCATAATACAATAGAA